CGATCCCAAGCACCCCCTCCTCCAAGAGTGACCGCTAAGTAGTGCATGACCCCAAAATACAAAATTCATTAACTAAGCTTTTAAAAACGGTCACAACTGTCCTGACACCAACTATTTTAAGTGTGGTTGGATAGCCCTAATCCAAAAATGGTTTTCTTAACTGAATGACTTAACTGGTTTTTTTTTTAAAAAATGGTCATAACATGTTTCCTTAATATGTCCTGTCTACCCATATGCTTGCTCACTTTATTTTTTTTTTTACTTGTGGGGTCACACCCAGTGATGCTCATGGGTTACTCCTGGCTCATGCACTCAGGAATTACTCCTGGAAGTGCTTAGGGGACAATATGGGATGCCAGGGATCAAACCTGGGTCGGTTGCATGCAAGGCAAACGCCCTGCCCGCTGTACTACCACTCCAAACTTGGAGCAAGACCCCACGCTTGCTCTCTTTCAGACCACCATCTCCACAGCCGCTGCTCTGGAGTCTGCCCCTCGTTCCCTCCTCACTCATGTGAATATCATCTTCCTGATGAAGCCTTCCTTCCCTGACCCTCCCTCAGGAGACAGAATCACCTCCACCTTCTCCTCACTAGTCACCAGTCACCTCTCCACGACAGCAGTGCTCTTACTCAAAGAGACACTTCACTTTTTGTGAAGTGAAAAAAAGGGGTTGCTCCCCTCTGTTCTCCAATGAAAGCCTGCTTCCAACTCAGGTCTCCTGGTCTGGAAGGAGCTGGTTTTATTTTGCATTTTGGTCTCCCAACTACCGGGAACTGATGATGCTTAAGGAGAAGAAAGATCTCATTTGAGGGTCCCTGGCACTTAGCACACTTCCGGCACATAACAGAGCACCGCTTCTTGCCACGACAATAATGACCCAACGGTTATGGAGTGCGTGAGATGTGCCTGACACTCCTCTTAGTTCTACCCTGAGTGAACGAAGGAATGAACGGAAACATTTCTTGGTCACCAACCTCAAAGGGGTCACAGGCTGACAGGGACAGAAGACAGGGACACGGGCTCATACAGAATCCCCGCCAGGGCCAATCAGCAGCCATACGCAGGCCCTCCGTCTCCAGGTCTTAGAGGATGCTTTTCTCTGAGTCCATAAATGTCAGGTTTCTTCAAGCTCACTTAGAATACTTCCTTCTATTACTTACAATCCACTTCCTGGCCCTGGTGCCTGGAAACAATTTCGAGGATGTCACCACAAGCAATATTAAGCTGCCACACCATTTCCTGCCGTGTGTCTGCACTATCAGTTAAATTGCTTCATATTAACCACAGTCCCGTCCACCAGGATCACTCCAATGCTAAAGAAGATTTAAACGTACCTGTCCCATACTGCCAGTCTCCCTCCACCCCACCCCCTCCACTGAGTGCCTCCCTCTGCATCACTGTCCTCTCCGGGGCAAGTCTGACTTCCCAGTGCTACCTGTACACTGGGACCTCTGCTCTCTGTTGCCAAGCAGTTGTTTGGTTTCTTGAAATGAACCTGGGCTATAAACACGCTTTAGGAAATTGTCTGCCTAAGGACCAGAGCTATAGTCCAGCAGGGTGGTAGTTTGCCTTGCACACGGCCAACCCGGGTTCAATCCCCAGCATCCCATATGGTCCCCCAAGCACCGCCAGTAGTAATTCCTGAGTGCAGAACCAGGAGTAAGCCCTGAGCATCGCTGGGTGTGACCCCTCCTCCCCCGAAAAGGGAAATTGTCTGTCTAGACTAGGGTCATTTGCCTTTAAAAACTTACAAACTCTCTTCCCGGGTGCAGGTAGCAAACTGTCCTTCTAACTCTAGGTACACTCGACTCAGAGCTTTAGGGAAGGATCTTGATTCAAATCCTAACCGACCTCCCCAGTGCATACCATACTCTGTGGAACAGCTTTGCAACAGGTCCTGCATCTGACACAGGGAACTCGATACCTTGTGCCGGGCTCATGATGTAGACAGATAAGAAACTGGATTTGGTGTTATGCACGTAATAAATGCAAGGGCCATGGATACACAAACGCGGGCACCTGACTGAGAGTGCAGAGGGTATGAAGCGCCCAAACTGGAGCTGGCACAGATAAGAACCATCTGGTCTAGGCTGGGGTGGGACATACATGAGAGGCAGCAGGGTCAGGCTGAGGGGGGCCACAATTCACTGAACTAAGCTGATGGGGGGAGGGTACCCAGATGAAGAGCAACAGGTCTGCCGAAACAGGAGAGGGTATCACAGGTGAGCAGCACTCGGCTAGGGCAGGGAGTCAGGTGGTGGAAACCTATTTCCTCATTTAAAAAAAAATGTGGTTAAGGGGTCTCACATCACTGGCCAGTTGTGAGCTCTCCCAGAAATGGGTCACATAAAACATCACCCCACCTCTACCTCATGCCTGGCAGAGAGATTAGCCTTGACCAGCCCCCAGATCAAGGCACTCAGATCAAGGGATGAACGACCGTGCCTATGGCCAGCAACGCAAATGCTTCCCTACTGACCACCCACCAGACATCAGCACCAGAATCATACATGGGATGCTTTTCAATCAACTTTTACTTTTTCAATAATCGGGGAATGTTAACTCCTGCTCTACACATTCACAGTATAAATCCTCGATCATCAAAACTTCCTTCACCGCTACCCAACACATCCTGTTCTCTCGCAGGTCTGGTTAAACTATGCCGGTTTTCTTAGTCTTCTGAGAGAGAAGGTGGAAAGGGAAGACTAAGTATTGGGGCACGGGTCCAGCAGTCACTGCCCCTTCTGGCCCTTGGGGCCGGGGCAGATAGAGGGAGCATGCAGGTATCAGGGGTGGGACACGAAAACTCTGCAACTCAGGAACTCTGATCTAGCCCCCAGTTTCAGCCTGACCCTGCCACACCACAGCAGGCAGAAGCAGGCAGAGTGCACAGACCCCAAGCGCATTCACTCCCCAAGCCCCTCCAACACCACACGGCCTGTGCACTTCACATATCAACCCAACCAGCGAAGCCCCGAGCCAGAGTCTGCGAGCTCAGGTCTGGATGGAACAATCGGTAGTGACCGACCAAGAAGCTTCCTTCTACCGTGTGATCAGCACTCAAGCAGAGTGGCCAGCCAAGCCACAGGCCCAAACCACACCGATGACAACAGTTCACAGCCTGGCTTCAGGGCCCCCCTTCTCCTCCTCCTCCACCCCGTGAGCGTTACAAGTGGCACAGACAGATTTCCCCAGCCTGAGTTCCAGAGTGGTCTGTCTAGTTTCAAGCCCGAGGAAGCGACTCTTCATAGTAATTTCACGCTTAACACAATTTCATGCATTTCTACGTTTCCTCGCCCAAGTGCTCCTTTTATTACAGCCAAGGGTGCCGCCCCGCACACTTGAGAACCTTCAAGTGATCGCGCGCCAGACCTGCTGCCTCATCATCGGAACTTGGATTCTCGTGCCCGTCCTGAACGCTGCCTGCCTGGCATCAGGAGAGTTTCCAGACTTCTCTGTGACGAGAAGGTGAGCGTCCTCACCAGCCCACAAGGCAACCAGGCAGCTTTGGGGAAGTGTTTTTCGAGAGCTACTGAAATGCAAGCTGACAGCTCTTGGAATCGGGAACCTAGCTTGGGGACAAGGGGGAAGACTCCTTCATCCCAGGGCTTGGCCAACTTACATCTTTTTACCTCCAGCACCTCTCAAGCTCTTGTTCGGATCAGGCTTCTACTTTAACACCTGGTTTCTGCCTCTGCGCCTCCCCGACCCCCCCCCCCCCCAAAAAAAAAGCACTATGAACAGGGGCTTGTCTGACGCTGCTCATTCCCTGAGCAAAACGGGGCAGATGGCCTCAGCACATCTCCAAAACTTTTGGCAAATGGGGATGGTGAGTCAGGGGACAACAAGGCTGGGCAAGGGTCACAGGGCTGGACTGGACACGACAGGCCCTTTCTGGATAATTATTAGATTCCACCCTCTAGTCCCTTCCCCTTTCCAACTTCCCTAGCACAAGCCTCAAAATGCTGAAATCAACACATTCCGACACTTTCTGGTAAGAGGGTATAAAGAGTCCCTAAGTCAGAGGTCTGGAGTTAAAGCCCTGCACTGTCAACTTCCAAATGCCCCCCTGAAAGCCTGCTACAAGTCAGCGAGGGGAAAAAAGTGAACATTTGTTAGTGATTAGAGATAAGACTCGGCCTGTTGGGAAGCTGTGGGACAGGCCCGCCTGAACTGGGGCTGGGAGCCCAGATAGCCTCCAGCACCCGCCCAGGGCTGACTGCAGCGGGGAAAGTTGCACCGTCCCAAGTCAAGCCTGCGGGCCCCAGAGCAGGCAACAATGTTTCAATGGGCTCTGAAGTTGGGCGCGCCCACAACCTCCAGGGGAAAACCAATCCCCCACGCGCCCCAGGGGAGCTGGGGGAGGGGAGGGGGCAGGCAATGAATGAGCGGGAGAAAGTGCGGGATTGGACACCCAGGCCTCTCCGGGTGGCTGAGCCCCCACAAGCCGGGCTCGGGCCGGGCGCAGCCTCTGGCCCCCCGCAGTGGGGGGAGGGAGGGCCTCTTGCGAGATAAGAGGGACAGAAAGAGGCCGGCGTGCAGAGCTGCGAGCCAGCGGGGGCTCCTCCCTCGGAGACTCGCCGGCACTGGGGGGTGCGGGGGGCCTGCAGGCCTGCGGCAGCCAGGCTGCAATCTCCCGGGACCTGCCCAACTCTCAGGGCGCCCCCCGCCCCCAACACACACACGCACACACGCCCATTCGGGGAGTTGCTTCCGGAGGCGCCTCGCCCTCCCCCCCAACAGTTGTCCGAGCATTCCCAGGGGCGCACCCCCACCCCACCCCCTCCCCCGTGGAGGGGCCCCCTCGGACGCGCAGGTGAGCCGGGCCCGGCCGCCCACCCACCCGCGCGCCCTCGCACCCCGCCCCCGCGCCGCCCGGGATCGTCATGGCAACCGGCCCCCTCCCCGTGTGACGCCGGCACGCGGGGCACCCCCCCGGGGGTCGCGCCCCCGCCCCCAGCCGGCGCGCCCCGCGCGGCCTGCAGCCCCCGGACTCACTTGATCCTGGAGCCCATGGTCCCCGGGCCTCCGCATGGGCCCGCGGGCCCCGCTCGGCGCTGCGCTGCGCTGCCCGCCCCGGCGCTCTCCCCGCCCGCGCCCCGGCCCCCGCGCGCCCCCTCGCCGCCGCCGCCTCCCGGGGCTACTGCGCTCTCTCCCCGCCGGCCAACGCCATGGTCGCGGGCGCGCGTGCCCGGCGCGCGCCGCCCCCGCCGCCGCCCCCGCCCGCCCGCGCCGCCGCGCGGGGGCTGCCGGGAAGTGTAGTCCGGGCGGGAGGCGGCGGCCCTCGCGGCCCCCTGCACCGCCGGCCCCTGCGGCTAGTCCCCGCGGCCCGGGCCGGGCTGCAGGCGGCCCTCCGCCCCTGGGCTTCCCGGCCCAGCCTCCGTCCCAGCCTGTCCCATCCGAGACCCTCATCCCAGAGCCCCCAGCCCCAGCCCCCTGAAAAGGCCGCCCTGCCCTGGGGCCTCAGAGAAACCCTCTCCTCTTCTGAGAGCCTTCCTGCAAGTTCCCCAAGGGAGTCCCGGCCCTCTCCTCGACCGCTCCATCCACACCACCCCGGTGGAGGGACCCCCACTCCGCCACCTCTGAAACGTCCCCCTCTCCACCCACCCCACTAGCCACCAGGGGCTTCACTGCCTGGGTCTTCTCCATCTTGTCCCAGAAGACCTTTGTCCCCCACCCCCATTCCTACCTCCACCCACCCCCTTACCAGTTGTTTGGGGGAGGGGGCCACGAATTCTAAAAGCCCCTATCCCCATTGTTAACTCACCGTAAAAGTAGGTGTCAGTAACGGGGGACATTGGAGGTGGGAAATGTACACTGGTGAAGGGATGGGTGTGGAACACGGAATGACTGAAACCCAATCATGAATAGCTTGTGAGGCTCTAACGCACAGTGATTCAGTAAGATTTTTAAAAAGATTTAAAGACAGAAAAAGCAGGTGTTAGAGAAGGAAGATCTCCAACCTGCTACTCTCCCTTGGAGGCCCCTTCCCTACACACGCCAATCCTATCCCTCAGGCCTGGAGGAATCAGAGTGGCAGCATAGTAACAGCATCATCTGGCTGTGCTCCAGAGTTAGCACCGAGAATCTGATGCGTTAATTCCCCTGCACAAAGAGGAAACTGAGGCACATGCTTCAAGTCCTATAACTGCATCCAGAGAGTAACTCCAGATCTCTGACACGGTCACAAGTCAAAGAACATTGCAGGTGCACGGTCCACTTGTGAAATCTGGCTTTTCTTGCTTGCTTCCTTTTAATCTCCCCCTTTCTTTTTTTGGTCTTTTTAATGCTCTTTTTTGAATGCCATTTATCCCTTCAAATTCACGAAGCGATATAACCCAGGGTTTTGCTTTGCATGTGTGAGACCACTGGCTCAATCCCCAGCAGCGCAAACAAAAATTAAACAGACCCATGGATGGTGCCCAGTCCCATCAATAACTGATCCTGGGTCCCCGCCAGACAGAAGAAAGCCAACAGGAAGAGCCATAGTAAAAGAAATTAAAAGTTGGGGCTGGGCATGTTGGGGGACAGACTTCAGAAAGAAAATGAAGAAAATGATTGTTTTTTTTTAAAAATTAAAAAGTCTCCTCTTTGGGGCTCGAGTAATCGTAAAGCAAGTAAGGCATTTATTTGCCTTGCATGTGACCAGCCTCTAGCATCCCATGTGGCCCCCGGAGCACCACTAGGAGTAATTTCTGAGCGCAGAGCCAGGAGCGAGCCCTGAACACCACCGGGTGTGGCCCAAATACCAAAAAACAAATAAACAAGTCTCCTTCAGGAGTTCCCTTCTGCATATAGATAATCTCTCTCTCTCTCTCTCTCTCTCTCTCTCTCTCTCTCTCTCTCTCTCTCTCTTGCCCTGAGGTTGTTGAAGGTAAAGGGGTGACTGTTTTTTTTTTACTTAAAAATATAAAGAGTAAAAAATGTCCAAACTGCCATTTTGAATTCAAAGTCTTTTGCCCCAGACACCAACACCAACTCATAAACACCCCCAGGAGCAAAGTTGTGCTAGACAGACAACGCTTCTGTGCAGTCTACTCCCCATGTTCCTATGAACCCTCTCCAAGGAACAGTTGTTATCAAGATCTTCCCTGGAATGAACAGCCAGTTCAAAAGCTCTGAGCAGGAGACTATAAATAAAACAAAATTATTTGGTGGAGGGGAAAGCTGGCTTCATTTCAAAGGAGACTGTAGCCATCCTGGCCACAAAAATGTCTGGGTGCCTGTTGGGTGGCGTGTGTGTGTGTGTGTGTGTGTGTGCATATGTGTGTGTGTGCATATGTGTGTGCATATATAGGGCTGGAGGAGTCTGAAGCTGGGAGGTGGGAGATTATGAGTTTATCCAGGTAACCTTAGGCTGCAAAGTGGTCTGGGAGAATGCTGGGCCAGGTGTTAACATTGGGGCGTGTGTGTATGTATGTGTGTGTATACACAAATACATATATAGTTGGACCATATCCTGCAATGGTATAGGGCCTACTCCTGGCTCAGAGGACCACATAATACTGGAGTAACAATACAGAGCTCTTACATGCAAACATTCTAGCCCTTGGAGTCTACTGTTAGCTGTGTTATTAACCAAGAGACTGATTTTTAAGTAGATCACTAGACAATTGTTGCTTCAGTTTCCCCAGTGAAGTGGGCACAAAGGACTACGAGGAACTCACACCCTAAATGAGAGTGCAGCATAGGGGGTAAGGGTGCCAACTCTTGAACCAGGCTACCTGGATTCAAATCTTACCTCCACATGGCACTAAGTATGTGCCCTTGGGTGACTGATTCACTCTGTGCCTCAGGTTTTCTATCTGTACAATGGGAATTATGATGATAATAGATCTATTCTCTCCATTCCCATGGGAAATAAATGAGTTAATGACACTTATAAAATACTTAAACGGTGACTAGCACATAGTAAGCTCGTGAAAATTATTAACAACTATTACATATAAGACAGTTAATGCAGCTTGACTTTATTATGAATAAAGGTAAAGGTAAAGGCCCTCCCGTTGATCATCAATTTGCTCGAGCGGGCCCAGTAACGTCTCCATTGGAGACTTTGTTGTTACTGTGTCTGGCATATCGAATACTCTCGGTAGCTTGCCGGGCTCTCCGAGAGGGGCGGAGGAAATAATAATCCTCTTTGGATTCAAGAGATCTGAGTTCCCGATGCACTCAGGGATCACTCCTGGTGGTGCTCAGGGGACCATATGGAATGTCAGTGATCTAACCCAGGTCAGCTGCATGTAAGGCAAGCATGAACATTCCAGAGCTAGTCTGAATAATTCTATAATTATCAAAACCTCAGAATTCTTTTGCATTATTCCCTTTTCCAAATTAAACATTTATCTCCTGGTCCAGGGTGGCTGCTTGAACTCTAACCATTTCATCTGAAGCCCAGACAGCAGGAAAGAAGGGCCTGGTCTTTAGATGCACAGCCCTGGAGTTGCCGACCCAACTCCAATGAGCAGAACTTACTGCACAATCACTTCTCACTAGGAAACAGCCTTTATTTCCACCATGTGGCCCTGGGCTGTAGCCATAGGACAGAGGGGAGGGTGCTTGCTTTGCACATGGCCGACCTTGGATTCCCGAGCCTGCCAGGAGTGATCCCTGAGCACAGAGCCAGGAGTAAGCCCTGAGCACCACTGGGTGTGGACCAAGAGTTAGAACAACAGTAGCACAAGACTCAACCCTTAACAATATTTTAGTAATCTCTTATAGAAGGGCTTAATGTCCCCTGGTTGAAATAAAACAATCTTCACACACTCTCCTCTAAGGAAAGCTTTTTGGAGCATTTTCAGCATTTTATTCATAACAAACAGTAGAAAACAAATTATTTCGGTTCTGCTTTGGGGCAGGGGTTGGGGTTCGGGATGGAAACATCCAAAATATGATGGTGGGAAGGTGTAATGGTAATGGGATTCGATTGGTGTTCAAATATTAAATGTAATCAAATATTGCAAACTGCTTTATAAAAATATTTTTTAAATGTTTTAAATAAAAAAAAAACAGAAATAATGTGTCCAGCTCAGGTATGGATTGGGACAAGCAGAATTCATTGGTCAATTGCAGGGAAAAAGGGAGGGCATATATTGCAAACAGCCCACAGTCTCCAAGTCACTCTCTTTCTTTCTTTCTTTCTTTCTTTTTTTTTTCTTTTTCATTTTTGCTTTTTGGGTCACTCCCTGCAATGCTCAGGGGTTACTCCTGGCTCTGCACTCAGGAGTTTCTCCTGGCAGTGCTCAGGGGACCATATGGGATGCCGGGGATCAAATCCAGGTTGACTGGGTTGGCTGTTTGCAAGGCAAATGCCTGACCCTCTGGACTATGGATCCGGCCCAAATCACTCTACTTTGGGTCCCTGTTTCCCTATATCTAAAATAACAGTATCAAGTCAGATGATCTCTCTCTGATGATCTCCCTCCCTTCCTCTCTCTCTGCCTTCATCCTTCCCTCCCTCTCTCTTTCTCTCTCTGAATCTCCCTCTCTCTGTGTCTCGTCTCCTTCTCTCTCCCTTTCTCTTCAAACTGCATTTCACTTCTAACATTTTAATATTCAATGTCTTGTGGGTTTTCGCAACTCCATTCAACCTTGGTAAATCTGATGTTCATAGAAAGGAGCTCTCTGCCAAGGATGTGGCATAATCAATTGTTGGAATTGAAACCTTCCGGTGTTGTGAAGAGGTTGAGGAACGGTGCTCTGACTTGTCAAAACAGGCCAAGTAAGCAGATGTAGCAGATAAAAAGTCAAACTCTGCATCCGTATATAGAGCCACCCATGTGGACACTTGGATGCTTCCCAGTTTCCAAGCTTGTTCTCCTCCTCTGCACCTAAGCAGTTTTGTTTTATTTTCTGTTTAGGATTTAAGGGGCTGTGTCTGCTTAGGGGAAGACAGCCACCCCAAGGAGCCCTCAGGCCCCACTCAGGATGCAGATTCCCAAGTCTGTTGTTGCTAATACTCTAAGTTGTGATTATATTCTCTGTGTTTAATTAAGATATATTTCACAGTTATATCCAGTGAAGATGACTCAAAGGGCTCTGGCACGTGCTTACTTGCAGGATCCCCCCCCCCAACACCCCCCAGTTTAGATCTTTGCTTCAAGTTTCTCCCACTCTCCTCACCTTTGCACTGCAGGGAGTGATCTTCCCCC